GTCATTGTCCTTGGGGTTTGGGTCGTTTTCCCCATGTTTGGGTCGTTTTCCTCGGGTTTTGACTCATTTTCCCGGGTTTTGGGTTGTTTTCCCTGGGTTTGGGTCATTCCCCCATATCCTGGGAGAAAGGGGGGGTCTTGTTCATTTTGGGGTCCCTGTCATGCCTGGAAGGGGGTGTGTTGTGCCCCCCCCCAAAATGAGGCTCTCCCCTCTCTCTTTTAATTAACACTCCTCTAATTAACCGCCAACCTATAAATGAACCCCCCTGGGCTGGGCCATGGGGTGTCTCGTTCCTTTTGGGATTATCCCTGCGCAAGAGGGGGTGTCCCCCTGTCCCCCTAATTAACCCCCCATAACCCGCACCCTAATTAACCCTAATTAATCCCGAAGGGGGGTCACCAAGCCCGTGTCCCCCTTCCCAGGGCCCCCAGGGAGAAGCCCAAAGCCGAGGCGGCCCCCAAGCCCCGCCAGGCCCCGACGGACGAGGCTCAGATGGCGGCGGCCGCGGCGCTGGCCCGGCTCGAGCTGAAGCCCAAGGGAAAGGCGCCTTCCTGCTCCCAGGAATCCATCAAGAACCAGGGTAGGAGCGGCTGGAGCTCCGGCAGAGCCTGGGGATGGAAAACCCAGTTTCCTGGGTGGAAAACTGCCAGGGTGGGGCACCAGGAGCCGCTTGAGCGCGATGGGAATGGGGTCGGGGTCACGCTCGCCCTTGGGCTGGGACAGAGCACCTGGGCGGGTGTTCCCTTCCCCACGTGTTCCCTTCCCTAGGTGTTCCCTTCCCCTGTGCTGTCCCAAAGCCTCTGGAATGTGCTGAGCCTCTGCTGTAACCAGGGTTTGTGTCTCCTAGTGAGGAGAGAGCTGATGGCCGAGGCAGCTGCCAGCGAGAAGGGGCTCCCCGAGGAGGAGAAGGTGAGGGAGGTGCTGCCCTTCCCTGCCTGCCCTGGGGGGATCTGCCAGGGGTGTTAAACAACAGACAAACCCAAGCCAAGCTCAGTTTGGTGCCTGGTTTTCCCTCCTTTAGGAGCAGGAGGAAGGGGCAGCTGCTCCCTCTGTCTCGGGGGTCTATTTTATCTGCCCCTTGACCGGTGCCGTCGTGAGGAAAGACCAGAAGGAAAAGCACCTCCGGGAAGCCATCCAGGCAGTGAGTGCTTTCCTTCCTCCTCCTCTAACTCCTTTTGTGTCCCCTCTAGTGACCTCTCCAACCTTCTCCCTGTAAAATCTCCCCCGGGACAATTTAACTGTAGCTGTTGAACCACATTTATTCCAACCCGTGGGGTGTTTTATCCCAACCCGTGGGGTGTTTTATCCCACTGTGAGGGGGGAACAAACGTGGTGCTGAGTTGGGCTCAGCTCCTCCCTGACCAGCTCCTCTCCTTCTCCCCCAGTATTTCTCTGTGGATCCAGTGGCTGCTTCCATCATGGAGATCCACACCTTCAACAAGGACCGGGAGAAGGTCCGGGTGGGCGTGGAGACCATGGCCAAGTGAGTGGGGCTGCCTTGCTGGGACTGAGGGGCACGAGGGGCTGGGCCCTTCCCAGGTGGGTTTTCTTGCTGTGCTCCTGGCAAAGAGGTTTTTTTGGGGAAGAAAACTGAACTCTTGAACCACCTGAATTGTCAGTGGACCCAATTTCAGCATCCTGGAGGTGTTTTAAAATGAAGAGTTGGGCCACCAACCCAGGAGGTTTGGGAGCTGCTGGTTGGCCCCAAAACACTGATGTGTTTTACTCACCTCTTTTCTCTGGGAGAAACACTCTGAGCTCTCTGTTTCCTGTCCCACCTTGGAGAAGCACGTCCTGCTCTGACCCAGGCAGTGCCTCCCTCTTCCTGCAGGTACCTGGACAACATCTACCTCCATCCAGAGGAGGAGAAATACCGGAAAATCAAACTGCAGAACAAGGTGTTTCAGGTGAGCTCAGACTCCTGCAGCTGCCCGGCCTTGGGAAGTTTCCCTTGCTTGGAGCAAACTCCATCTGAATCCTGTCCTTTTCCTCCAGGAAAGGATAAGCTGCTTGGAAGGGGCACACAAGTTTTTCCAGGCCGTGGGGTTTGAGACAAAAACGCTGCCTGTTCCAGGACAAGGCAAGGAAGGGCAGGGTGTTGGTGTGGGGTTTGCAGGGAATGAGGTTTTCAGGGGAATTGGGTTTGCAGGGAATGGGGTTTGCTGGAAGCAGAGTTTGCAGGTAGTGGGGTTTTCAGGGGAATAGTGTTTTCAGGAATGGTATTTGCAGGGAGTGGAGTTTGCAGGTCTTGGAGGAACGGGGTTTGCAGGGAGTGGGGTCTGCAGGGAGTGTTGTAACGGGGTTTTCAGGGAACGGGGTTTTCAGGGAACGGGGTTTTCAGG